ATAGAGCTACATGCCTTCTCCAAAAAATCCACCAACAAACCACTTGCATAAACAGCAGATTTTAAGAGTTTTTCTTTAGTTTTTCTTTGCCTGATCTCATCTGTGGCTTTCTGCTACAGCAGCTTCACTTAGAGCTAGGTACCATTTTTTCCTCCCTACCCAGCCCAGCAAAACTGGCAATAATCAAACGAGACATATCAGACCATCCCTTCTGCAAGGGCTCCACAGCTCAGAAGGGGCAGCTCTGGCCATGGAAAACTCCTCACTCAGATCCAAAACTGTATTTCCCCATCTCACACACCAGCTTGCAGCTCACACAAATGTTGTGAGATCATCGTATTTCATGATCAGACAGGCAGCAAAATCAAGAATGTCAAGGCCTTTTTTTTTTTTGTCATGTTGCCTCACTGTTCCATATAGGAAGCAAACAGATAAGAGTTTTCTTTAACTAAAACATCCTGCCATTGAATTTAAAAGCAAAATCTTTGGAGCTTTCAAGTGGACTGTGCTAACATTCCAACACCTCAGTAAAACCATAAATGTGACGTATTCACTCCATACCCTACTTCACATGCTTCATACCAAAGCCAGTAAAATAATTCCTCAGCCTTTTATGTGTAATGTCTAACTGAATATACTACATGTTGCTCCCATAAGAGCTTTGCTAGCTCGTATGACTAGAAAAGACCAACACTGTTTTGAACACCAAGTCTATCACTAACACTAAAGACCGACACACTTTAAATCACAGATGTATTCGAAAAGTGATACTCAGCAAAGCAGTGTGAAGAGAAATGGAGACATGTGTTTCACTTGCCAACAGCTCAAAGTCAACAGAAAAACAGAGCTAAAATAAATATAGCAGTGCACCACACTACAGCATAAGCCAAATAGGCCAGAAAGAGTAAGACCATGTGTGGTCATTTAAATCATGCACAGAAAGGCTATTAAACAAGGGTGGAAAGTTTATCACTAAGCAAGGATGCTATTTACTTTATTTCGTGCCGTGATTTTATAAAGGTATTTGGAGCTCAAAACAGGGATTGACTGCAAGGCATCAGAGGACAGCATCTGGCTTTCTGAAATGCCCCCAAGGCAACATCATGTTAACCTGGCTGCATTCTTACAACCTGAATTTTAAGGGACAGCTGAGAGGGTCGATCAGCCATTGGTAGACATGTTCTACCACATGAAAAAGCTAAACCTCTACATCCTCCGCTTGCTGAAGGAGAAGGTCAGTATTTCAAGCCTGAACACCCAGAACTTGGCAGAACATGATGCCAAATTGAGAAGGGTTGAGTACCTCCTGCTTTTCTGTCTGAAAGTAAAGCTCATTAATTGAAAGGATGCACCCCACGCAATTCAGTGAACAGAGGCTGTATCTGAAGGAATCAGGGGAGCAGCAGCACAGCTTTCCCATTGCACTTACCCAGTGAAACAGCACCTCTGTTGGACGACGCTTGTCTGCTTCCTTTACCATCAGGACTTCTCAATGTCATCCTTAATTTAAAAACCCGAGCCCAGCCTTCTCAACTGAGAACTCATTGTGGACTGCCCCTAGCTCTGAAAACAGTCTTCAGTGTGACTAGTAACAGGAAGAAACTTACTTCTGCAGGAAGTCCTAGCTTCTAGGGAGTATGTTTCATAAAAGCAGTACAAGTTCATCTTAACTTCTCCTATGTGGCTTCTTGGACAAATTTCTAGACATAATGCTAGCACTGTTTGCTGACATCCCACTTCTTAACTTGCTTCTCACAATTATAAAAGAATTAGTTAATGGGAAAAATTCAGAAGCAATGAACATTTGCCAAGGGAAGATTCTTCCAAACCCTCCAAAATAAAGATCTCTACCATCTCTCTGATTTTTTTTTTTTTTTTAAAACAGTCCACACAGAAACTACTTGGTTTTGTGTACTTACTGACAAACCAAACTCTCTGTAAAATATAAAAGCATGACTAAAATAATTCCAGGTGAAGTAACACAGCCCCAGCTACAGAGCATTTACAGACAGCTCTGCTACATTACACCTTTTATTACAAATTTATTGTGTTTGAGATACATAGTTATGCATATGAGCTAATACCAAGAAAGCAAACAGTCACCATTTGAGGACGTGTTTGAGAATGAGAACATCTCTTACTCCATGGAATGAAGAGAATATTGTCCTCTCAAAATTCTTAGCAAACTTTTTTCATAATTTTATTACAACAATTCATACAGTTTTAGGTTTGCACTATGTCATAAATGTAACTTAAAATTAGAAAAAAGCACTTGACTCAACCTTTTTGTGGTATTCTAACAATTTTATTTTAAGTATTGATTTGTAATCTGATTTGTTGTATGTAACCCAAATTTGCTAGGTTGGGTTTTGTGGTTTTGCTTTCTTAAAGCCACTTTAGGAATAAATCCCAGATTCCTTACTACTGAATATACTCCTAAATGAATGATTCCTCAATGCTATGATATCTACCACTCTAACTGTACTGGAGTAAAAAATAAGATTTGACTGAATTTTATAGCATATTATTATGCCAGAACATGCCACTGAAGAAGTGTCTTCCCAGCCGCAGGCAACTATATTGGTTAGTATCATGAAGCATTAACAGACCTGAAATAACTGTTCCTGTATAGCAAAAGCATTATCGTATTTTCACTTCCATTACTCTCTATGTAACATCACAATTTTAACTTTTTTTTTCCTTTATATGATTATATTTACAGGATATATCCTTTATGGATCCAGCTCTAAAATCTACTCCTTTTCCTGAAATGCTGAGAAACTTACCAACACACACAAAATGTTCCAACTGTTTTTTTGAACATACAGAATTATCTCTATTACACTGTTCAGTCACCTTTCACTAGGCTCCCCGGTTAAAACTAATGAAGTATAGAAGGAACGACTCTCTTTGTGAAATTCTGTAGACACTCATTAACCAGGCTGCCCAGCTCTTTTTCCCACAGCACTAAGAATGGTGTGAATCTACAGACATCTTAGGGAATTATTCCTGGTTTTCTAGACACCTTCTCCAAAAATAAGTATATTACTGACTTTCTAAATAGTATCCAGTGACTGACTGGAGCCATAGTCAGCCTGATTTACTAATGAGCACAGTCCCAAAATAGCAGATATTCTTTTCACCCATGCAGACATGGACCATACTGGCCCTTCCACTGAAGACCTATCTGTTTCATAATCCAAGATGTCAGCGTTAAAATACACCAAATCCCAGACCAGCTGGATCTGCTTCTCTTTGAGCAGACCCTGGTAGTTTAGCCTCTCAGTAGCAGTCGCTTGCAGAACTAGAAAACCCTGAATCTGCTCTTTTGCTTTAGTGCAGAATCAGGGAAGTCTTCAGGTCCTGCAGCTCAACTGCAGATGGATGATGAACAGCAGTGCAAGTGGGTTTGTGTCATCCTATGAAAGACACAGGTGTGTACCCATTATACCATTGATAATGGGCAAAAGACTGCAAGACAACAAAGAGGGAAACACATGTCAACAATTTAAGCACCATCCATATCCTTCACATATCAGTTATCTGCAAGTTGCTACGCAGCACACACCTCTGTAGTGCCTGCATTTGTAAGATTCCAGGTACATTGCAGTTGCTTCTCTCAGTTCTTTTGTCATCAAAAAAAACCGGAGAACCGCTGCGCCAGTACAGTGTACTTGCCACTACATGGCACCTTTTTGAATGAATAGGAAATCTGAAAGCAAAGATCTATGCTAATTAGCTGGCTATACCGAGGGTAGGTAGCAAGTCTTAAGGGTACTGGCGTAAGTTAAAACAAAAGATTCAGCTTCTTTTGAAGACATCATAAATTAATTCACATCAAGGCTGACAAGTGTGAACATTTTCAAGTATAAAGACAAATTCAAAAGTTCTAACCCGGAACAAGAACACCATCACAATATCCCCAGTGCCATGTTGTAAAGTGGAGCCTGTCTGATTCCATACCTTCTGAATTTTACAGCCTTTGCATGCCCAAAGGGACCCATCATTAAAAGGTCACTTCAGAAATAAATTACCTTCTCCCTTGTGGCAAGTTTCTATGAAGTAAAAGCCTAACATTGACACCTCCCCACAGCAGGGTATTTATTGTCTGTTCCAGAGAGGGCAAGCAGGGCTATGAATCTGATGACACCAACAGAGGCACACAACAGAAAAATGAGAGAATTGAACAGGCATGGCTGCGAAGACTTCCTCTCTACCATGCACACTACCTCTAGCCATAAGCACAAATAAAGGCACCAAACAAGCCTTCTCATCCTACCCCTTTCCTTCTCTACTCATTTCTCTGTAAAAGATGCTTCTGAAAAGTGAAGTCTGCTAGGAGAATGCCTAAAATCCTAATCATCAAGAGCAAATGATGCATGAAACAGATAAGCATGCACGTTAGACTAATATTTTCAGGCAGGCATAGTAGACAAGTATTTTTAGGAAAGCAAATTTCCATAAAAACAGAGTTTCTTCTCGGGTTAGCCTGTTACTTCGGATAGATTCTCTTCATCAGAGCAAGTATTCTAAAAGGTCCTCCTCCTCCACAAAAGTGGCACCATTCACAGAACTGCCCTTTTTAGCAGAAAAATAACAACTAACACTTATTTACTGCAACCCTTTTGTGAATCTACTGAATTCTCTAACACCTGAACACAAAGACTTAGGGTGTCAAGGACAAGCATTTAAATAAATTTCCTTGTCTCTCACAAGAAGCATAACATTCAAAAGAACAAGATCAAAGGAGCAATATTATTTATACCCATCTCCCATATGCTCATTTGTCATAATGTTGACAGATCTATAAATTCAGCAGACTTTAATAGGCAATACAACTCAACTGGAACATGCGTAAATTTGAACAGCCAGCAGTTGACGTCTCTCAATTTGAACAATCTGCCAGCAGACAGGGGAAAGGAAGGGGAAAATACAAATAGGTGCACAATCCCACAGGCTGGGAATACTCAACACATGAAGCAAAACCAAACACCACTTACTTCAGATTTGGAGGACATGTTTTCCTCCATGTCAGAATCATTGGGATCTACAATATCATCAAACGGTGGCAGAGTAGGTGTCCTCTTTTCCAGTGCATCATTTTCAATTTTGACTCTCCCCACCTTGAGTTGAGATCTATCCTTTATCTGTTTTTTGTCAGCTGAACAAGTAAGAATCAATGGTGGGGCACTAGAAAAACTTTTAAATAATGAATCTGAGCCACTTTTTTTTCTTTTTTTTGCAGAAGGTTCATCAGAGTCCAGAATAGAGGACCTTTTTGGGGGGGTCTTCTTTTCTTGCTGCTGCCCACCTGTTATGGGAGGGATAGGGGTGTTTTCAGATTTTGGCTCCTTCGACATAGGCTTGGGTTCCTTGAAGGCCATCTTAGGAACTATTTTTTCATCTTTTAGTGGTTTGTTTTCTTTGGGTTTCTTAGAGGATTCTTTGGAAGATTTGATGTGTTCCCTGGAAGGTTCTTTGAAGGCACTTTTATGTTCTTTTGAGTCTTTAGAAGTTTTTTCCTTGTGCTCCTTTGTTAACTTGTGGGTCTTTGAAAAACTGTTACTACTGCTGCTGCTGCTATTTGTATTCAGAATCCTAGTTGGGTCCTGCAAAAAGGAGATGCCAAATTTTACTTACAACAAAAACAAAAAAAAAAAAAAAAGAGAAAGAAAAATAACTCTTAAAGCCCCAGAAGACAGACACAATATGGACACAGGATTAATATTAAAAATTTGGAACTGCAGGTTGAAAACCAGGAACTGCAAATACCTACATAAGAACAGATAGAAACCCCATCATTTTGGTCAACTTATCTGTTATAAAGTGGTGGAATGTAAGCAGTTGCCACTGATTGTCAATATCTGCAAGACAAGCTGGTTTTGATCTTAATAATTAGGTATCTTTTTAATGAAACATCATCAGATTAACATAAAGACAGCTTAGGAAATGTTAACCACGACAATTAACTATCAGAAAAACAACAACACAAGGGAAGATCAGGATATGAACTATACACTGTTAAAAGAGTTACTTCAGGTTCGGAGCGAAACACATGCTCCTGATGACATTTCGGGCAAAGCTTGGCTTCTCTGCTGTGATCCTCTCTCAAGTTTTTGCCAGATCCTTCTCCTCATACACAATAACTCTGGGTCCATCCTGGCTATGGATTTGATACACATTTGATACTTGATTTGATACACATCTCTTTTTATGCAAAACCTCCTTTACTAAAAATGCTTTCTTCTTCGTATTTAGTGCTGCTGTCTCTACTATTTCATGACATTTTTTAAAAATTTGATTGTTACAAGTGAGAAGGATTTTTGAGCGGGTGATGACTCAGACATGCTGTAAGATAGGCAAAAGCAGGAGCAGAGCAGTATCATTCCTCACTCATATATATTTAGTTAGACCTGTCCCAAAACACAGTTCTAGAATCACAGCTTTAATGAAATTATTAGGTTTAAAGAGAGGGTGATGAACAATACTTAAAATAATGTGTTCTTCCAATACATCTTTTATGCAAAGAAAGCATTCTTGGAAATAGGGAACTACTGAAAAGGGTGTTAGTTGGTATAAATATTACAAATACACTTCTGCACTTCTGGGTTTGACTTTCAATAATTTGGTCAGTTATCCATCCAAGTCCTTTGTAAGCTGCAGACCAAAGTGTGGCACTCCAAAGTCTCTCATCTGTGTAAGACTGGATATACTTTCATCTGTATAAAATTAATGTACAAATCCCTAGCTGTGTTTTATTTTCCAGCAACCCACACTTACCATACAGTGCTAAGAATCTGCTTTTCTTTTTTGACCCTTGTACGGGTTTTGGCTGGGACAGAGTTAATTTTCTTCATAGTAACTTGTATGGGGCTATGTTTCGGATGCACGATCAAAACAGTGTTGATAGCACACTGATGTTTTAGCTATTGATGAGCAACATTCACACAGAGTCAAGACCTTTTCTGCTTCTCACCCCATCCCACCAGAAAGGAGGCTGGGGGTGCACAAGAAGTTGGGAGGGGACACAGCTGGGACAGCTGACCCCAGCTGAGCAAAGGGATATTCCATACCATGTGACGTCATGCCCAGCATATAAAGCTGGGGGAAGAAGAACAAGGGAGAGGATGTTCAGAGCAATGGCATTTGTCTTCCCAAAGTAACTATTACACAGGATAGAGCCCTGCTTTCATGGAATTGACTGAAGACCTGCCTGCTGATGGGAAGTAGTGAAGGAATGCCTTGCTTTGCTTATCGTACAGGTGCAGCTTTTGCTTTTCCTATTAAACTGTCTTAATCAAAACCCATGAGTTATCTCACTTTTACCCTTCCGATTCTCTCCCCCATCACACCAGCAGGAACTGAGCAAGTGGCTTTGTGGGGCTCAGCTGCTCACTGGGTTTAAAGCACAACAACCCTCTAGTATATATGTAGATGTGGAATGCCTGGCTGTCTAACACCACCACAGATTTATAAAACTGCAGAAGGGAAAACATACTCAGCTTTTCTTCCCTCTTACTTAACCGCCATTTCACCCACAACATAGATGGGATAGGAGCACTGCACTGGAAACTGAAGGACCAAAACAGGACAGTCAAATATTATATATATATTTCAGTCAAAACTCCTTTACTGGTGGTTTTTTGTTAAATTAAAAAACAAACAAACAAACAAAAAAGCTCCATATTTTGTTTGATACAAGACCAGGCCCAAAGGTTGACATATTAACTAATTATTCATGCTTTTATCTTCACATCTTGTTCTACCATGACAGAGCTGTAAGCGTTCCCCTGGGGAGGAATAAAGTATGTGCCATTAATAAACTAGATTAAGTCCTTATGTTTCTTATTGGTCTCCTTACCACATATTTTAAATTGCTCCAAAAGGAGAGCAATTTTTAGTGGTTTTCCAACAGATGAGAGCTGTGAAACAGGTCCTGGGCCACAGCAGTATTAAAACCAATAAGAACTTGAGATCTTTCTTGCCTTTTCAATTTTAAACCCAGACTTCTTTCCTCTTTCTACAATATGGAAGCACATGTTTTGGGATGAAATGTGGCTAAATAGTCACATTACGCACAGCATAGATCTTACTGAAAATTAGAATGTACTTTCAATCCATTTTCTTATTTATCAAAACCTAATTGTGTTTAAATGTGTTTAAATGTTTCTTTTCCTTCCCACTTTAAAAAGTGGTGCAAGGAATTAAGAATGAATGATGTACTTCTGCTGAGAGACAAATAAAACAGTCTTTTCTCAAGTTCATATGTAAAATGGAGATCACGTGGTTTTGACAGCTAAGATTTACACATCATAGCTTACATTTATGTATTCATCAAATATTGAAGTAACCCAAGTGAATGTTAGACTTTGATACATCACATAACAAACATGAGAATAATACAGAGGATTATATGCATGTTAAAATACCTGCAGATGTTTTCTTTCCATAAGCCAGGTAACACCATGTACATACAGTACTTCAAGATATACAGTCGCTTTCACAGAGCAGTACTAACAGATGTTTAAAAATAAGTATTTTAGGAAGCATGATAAAAATCTGAAGTTTTACCAACAGAGAAAGACTGTGCTACTGTGACTGTTACACTCAACTCCTGCTCCGATGTTGGCTAACACAGCTCATGCTAAGGCCTGATTATGGTGGGAGCAGCTAGAGCATCAGGTAGGCAAGACAGGTGGCCAGAAAGAGCTGAAGGGTCATTATGCAGCCATCATCACCTGCAAATTGCTGTCTCCTGCAGCCATCATTCTTGTCTGGCAGTTTGGTCAGAATCTGCTAACATATGGAAATTATATAAGCCAAACCTCCAAACTGGAAGGTATAAAACATGAGCTTATGAGGAAAAAAAGAAGCATTTGAAGCAGATCCATCAGCAGCCAGACTGCTGAGGCCTTCCTGTTTCCCAGTGTGTGATACAGGGGACACCCACACTGTGACAGAGGAGGAAGGATGAGCACTCTCACCATTGGCTAGGTATCTAATTTATTTTTTTTTAGCTCCTAAGTGCATGGAATAAGAGTTACAGTTATAAATTACGGAACCATATTGCTCAAGTGGTGAATAACTGAATTCACATGACAGACTTGTCCGGGCAAGGAGGACTGAGCCCTGTTTGTTGTATTTCTTAATGAGCTCCTGAAATAAAGTTTAAAAGACAGGGTACATCATCCTGTGAATTTGAGAGATCCAAATGGACCATGGCAGCTGCTCAATAGGTAACACATTTCCAGATTAAAACAATTCTGTAGCTATAAGGCAAAAAATAGTGTTGAACTCTCTATATATCTTGCAGGGTCAGATTCTGACTTCACACCACAAAATGTGATTACCAATTTGGTTGAACATGAGTTTAAATAAGCAGTATCCTCTGGAAATAATTTCAAACCTCTCCAGTTGCTGACAGGCATTAGGAACCTAATTAACAAATTAAGCAATCGGGAGAGAAGGGGGTGGTTCATTAAATTTTATGAAGCCATTAAACCAAGCACATTGGCATGGTCATGCCAGTCTACTGTACTCTAGGTTTAGTCTACAAATTTAGGATTAATGTTCATAAAAACATGCGTTGTTTTAATTTGTAATAAAAAAGCATTACTTCAAATGTTATGTCTATTGAAATAACATGTCCATCTTAAGCCAATGGTCTGGAATTAGTTTCAAATATGCCTCCTGCTCAAGGGGAAAAGAAGAGGAAGGTATCTAAAAGGAATTGCTTGCTCAAAGAAATTCAGATTTCTGTTGAACACAAATGCATTTATTATTGAATAAAAACACTAACTGATTTGGGGGGTAAAAAAACCCAAAACAACACACCACCCACAACATTTTGAAAGCCTCCACAAATACTGCGGTATTCTTCCACTTGCTAGCTGCATGATGGAGATGAATTTACCTACTGCCAGTTCTTCTTACAGATTATTACTGTATCACACATTTACAAAGCTTTCCACACTTCAGCTTGTCCAGCCCGCCAAACTACTGTGACCAATGACATTAGGAGAATTAGAAGCAGATGGAGAATTACAAGGCACACTGGTTTGACAGAGAAAGCCAGAAGGGGGAGCATAAAACAATATTTTTTTTTTTTCTGGTCACACATGGGAATAAGAGCTTTTGGGTTTTTTTGTTTATAAAGTAAACCTAATTTCACTGCAGCTGACACTACAGCTCATTCCAAAAGACAATCATCCCAACAAAACTAATCAAGCTGTTTCACTCTATTCTGTGCATGTAGTATTTACATAATACAAACAGACACAGTAATACAACTGATTTAAAAGCAACACAAGTATCTGTAGCTAGCCTGCAGCTATTTTTGAATTCTGAAAAAAATGCATAAAGTAACGTTTCATGCATTTCTGCATGTCCTCTGTATTTCCAAGACTAAAGCTTGGTTTTAGAATCACAGTACTGAGGCTCACTAATACCATCTCCATTAAATTAAACACAAAATCATGGAACTTCAGAAATAAAAATATCTATATTTTTTAAGACACATTTCAGAAGAAGATGTGACAGAAAGCAAACTGACAGTTCTCTCTTACTTCATACTGCATTGTATTTTTTTTTTTTTTTTAAATAAATGAATGCTAGACTAATAATACCACTTTGTTGCACTGGTTTTACTGTCTTGACTGCAATTCGCCTCTAACCAGAAAGTCTATGTAGTGCTTTGTAATGGCAAACGGGTAAGCAAGTATTCTTAGTTTCTGGTTTTCCATACACAGAGTTTAAAAGTAGGCTCGAAGTTTACTTTGGTATTAACAGACAATGTCACTCCAGTCTTCAAAAAGGGCAAGAAGGAGGACCCAGGGAACTACAGGCCGGTTAGTCTCACCTCTGTCCCTGGAAAGGTGATGGAACAACTCCTTCTGAGTGTCCTCTCCAAGCAAGTGGATGAAAAAAAGATCATCAGGAGTACCCAGCACGGATTCACCAAGGGGAAATCATGCCTGACCAATCTGTTAGCCTTCTATGATGGCATGACCGGCTGGGTAGATGAGGGGAGAGCAGCGGATGTTGTCTACCTTAACTTCAGCAAGGCTTTTGACACTGTCTCCCACCACATCCTCATAGGGAAGCTCATGAAGTATGGGTTGGATGACTGAACAGTGAGGTGGATTGGGAACTGGCTGAATGGCAGGGCTCAGAGGGTTCTGATCGGCAGGGCAGAGTCCAGTTGGATGCTGGTAGCTAGTGGAGTTCCCCAGGGCTCAGTACTCGGCCCAGTCTTGTTCAACTTATTCATCAATGACCTGGATGAGGGGA